GCCAGGGGTGGGCCTGACCGTGCTGGCTCAGGAACAACGCTGCAGCCAGGGGTGGGCCTGACCGTGCTGGCTCAGGAACAACGCTGCAGCCAGGGCCAGCGGCACCGAGAGGTCAGTGGTGGCGGTCCCACGGTGCAGGCGGGTGCGGGGAGACTGCTGGTAGTCAGACACGGGTAGCTGGCTGTGTGATGGTGAATGTGGTGGTGGCTGAGTGCCCTGTCTGCGCGGACCTTGAGGCAAGGCCGGGACACTCAGGGGGCCCCCTGGACCAGGCTTGCTGCCTCTGATTCCTCCCCTCGATGGTGGAGCCTCCCCAAGCCCATTCCCTCCTCTGAGGCTCCAGCACCCCTTTTTCAGACGTGGATGAGTGCGCATCCCATCCGTGCCAGAATGGCGGGTCCTGCACACATGGAGTCAACAGCTTCACCTGCCAGTGCCCAGCCGGCTTTGGGGGCCCCACCTGTGAGACAGGTAGGTGAACACCTAGGCCCTGTGGCCCCGGCTGGTGCAGGACAGCTAGGACCCACAGCTGGACAGGGTGAGGCCTGGGGAAAGTCCTGCCCCACCAGGAACATCAGGCCAGGGTGTGGCACCAGATATGAGCAGCCCCAGAGAGTCCTGTGGACGGCAGGAGCCCAGGCTCTAAAGGATGTCCCTGTCTCAGTGGGCACAAGTGTGACCATGGCACACAGGCCCCCTGGGCATCCTGACCTGGGCTGAGGCCTTGGAACAGGCTGGCGCTGAATTCTGGACTGGGCCAGGATGGGGCCCAGGATGGGGGCCAGGGTGGGGGCCAGGGCAGGGCCAGACCAGCACGCCAGGCCTGGGAGAGCCCATTTTTTAATACTTAGAGACTCAGACTACAGAAAAACGGTTTAAATGTTTAATTCTAGTTTGTACCCATAGTGTTTTATCACAGAGAAGTACGACAGACTGTCACTAAGACTTTCACACAGAAGACTAGATTAGACTCTAATTGAGAAAAAGTGAAATGGAAATGTGATTTCAAGGTGGAAAAGGAACAGAGCAGAATTTCCAACTGGCAAAGGCACTTGGTTTTTGTTTGTTTATTTTTTTTTTAAATCTGTTTGTTTGCTTGCTTTTTAAATTAACAGCCTTTAGGTTTACAGAAAAACTGTGCAGAAAGTAGAGTTTCCGTACACCCTCCTCCTCCACAAACACAGTTTCTCCTGTTACAGCTTGCATTCCTGTGCTACATTTGTTACCATTCGTAAACCAACACTGATACATTGTTACTAACTAAAGTCCAGCATTTACACGAGCGTTCACTCTGTGTTGTACAGTCCTATGGGTTTTGACAAATGTATCATGTCATGTATCCATCATTACTGCATCAGAATAGCGTCACTGCCCTTAAAATGCCCTGTGCCCACCTGTTCATCCCTCCCTGCGCTCTCTCCTCCAGCCCCTGGCTCCCACTGACCTTCTCTCCGGCTTTGCAGTCTTACCTTTCCCAGACCATCACAGACTCTCACACGGTCAGAATCACCCAGTCTGTAGCTTTTTCAGGCTGGCTTCTTTCACTCAGCAATATGCACTTAAGGTTCCTGCATGTCTTTCTGTGGCTTGATAGTTCGTTTCTTTTTATCACTGAATAATAAATACTCCATTGTACGGATGGACTACAGTGTGTTTATCCATCACTGTCAAGTTGGCCCCAACTCTTGGTGACCCCATGCACAACGGAACAACACACTGCCCAGTCCCGCACCACCCCCATTGCCCAGACCCACTACCCCCACTGCCCAGTCCCGCACCATCCGCATCGCCCAGTCCCGCACCGCCCCCATCGCGCAGTCCCGCACCGCCCCCACTGC